GGGAGGGTGCCTAGGGTGACACAACAGCTAGAGTCATATGAGGACGGGTAATTAGGGAGTCTCCGTCTGATACTGAAAATAAATAGAAAAGAAAGAAGACAGGACAGAAAGAGTAATAATGGTATAGGTGATACAACCAATGACGACAAATCAATGAACGATAAAACCGTAGACAATAAACCCATAGACAATAAACCTATAAACAATAAAACCATAGACAATAAACCATACTAAATAAAACCATACACAATAAACCATACACACTAAACCATAGACAACAAACCATGGACAATAAACCATACACACTAAACCATACACAATAAACCATAGACAATAAACCATACTAAATAAAACCATACACAATAAAACCATTCACAATAAAACAATACACAATAAACTATACACAAAAAAACCAGACACAATAAAACTACAGACAACAAAGCCAACGACGATTAACCAATGATGACACACATGAATGAAGACAAAATGTTAGACGACATACAAACGATTGACGGTAAAGTAAATGACGACAAATTCATAGACGACAAAAACATTGACGACAAAATTGTAGACGACGAACAATTGACGACAAATTAATAGACGACTAAACCATTGACGACAAATTAATAGACGACTAAACCATTGACGACAAATTAATAGACGACTAAACCAATAACAACAAAATTATAGACGACAAAACCATTGACGACAAATTCATAGACGACAAAACCATTAACAACAAATTAATAGACGACTAAACCATTGACGACAAATTAATAGACGACTAAACCATTGACGACAAATTAATAGACGAAAAACCCATTGACAACAAAATTATAGACGACAAAACCATTTACGACAAAAACATTGACAACAAAATTGTAGACGCAGAACCATGGACGTCAAAAGTTATAGATTGCAATTTGTTTTGATATTTTGGTTAGACGACAAAAGTTATTAATTAAACCGTATACGACAAACGATAAACGATAAATCCATTGACGATAAAGGTATAGTTAAACACCCTGAAATTGTAAAGGAATACCTCGGCTTTCTGATATCTGTAAGGGTTTTTTTTAAAAAGGGAAATTATTCCTTACTAGCGATCGACTCCAATAAAGAAGAGAACAGCCTTATGTGCTAGCTCGATCGACTTTTTTACCACATATTATGTTTGACAAAGGGATAGTATTAGGCATTACACACTTTTGATATGTGTAAACTTAGCACCTGTCAAAGTCCAAGGCCACAAAGCGACGCGTACTTTAAATTAATTACTTTAATGATAGGAGATGTTAGAGAACAGTTGACCAAAAGTAATGGACATCGAAGTTCATTGAATAAAAATCTTGCAGACTGGCAACAGTTCACAAAAGATTTTAGCTATTCAATAACCTGGACCTATTACGATGCAATCATGGCCTGTGTGACGTTAGTAGTAATAAATGCCCTTGCGATTTACATGTGTTCTGTGTATAATTGTATGATACGATAACAAGTGAAGTTATCTCCCCTTTTTATCTATCATAAGGAACTCTGGTTGAGGTCAGGGGTCAGAGCTCGATTAGTCACGTGATTCTATTGATCGATTGTATAGGCTGTATAGGGGGTATTGTGGGAGGAGGCAACACTGTATCGCTGAGTGTATAGTTACATCTGATGGGTGCGTTCTGGATATCATAATCATTTTTACAACTGGAATCAATTAGGAGAAATGAACCAAAATTCACAGTTTGTGTAATATCACACTTGAAATGCACGTGCCCCAAAATGGAGTTCTTGCACGTGTAGCATTTCACATATGACCAAATGGTATCTGTAGCATGTATACACGATACGCTAGCCCTGTCAACACTCGACTGTGCAACCCCCCCC